TTTAACAATTAATCTGTAAATAACTTTATTCAAAAGAATCTAACTTCAATCTTTTGAAACGTAATTAGCGCAATACAATTAATTAGATAAATTATGTCATCTTTAACTTTATGACTTAATTAATTAATATTCTATATTTTTTTTAGCTTTATCAGTATGTACTAGTGATCTCTACCAATGTGATTAGATTTATTCATGGAAAAAAAAAAAGAGAGATAAATGTGAGACAGGGCTTTTAAAAGTTGCAATATTTAGAAGAGTGAAACTTATATTAAAAAGTAAAAAAAATCATGACAAAATTAGAAATTTCTTTAAAAATGTTCGAGTGATAAACCACATAAAAAAACGTTACACAATAAAGCCAAAATGATCGGCCATGGCACATGTGACTTCGAAGATACTGAATTTTTCTGTTAATTTCTAATCATTTTTTTTGTAAGATTTGGGGATTGGATACTCTTTAACAACCTCTAAGTTTGTAATAATAATATATAATCTCATTTGTTGTTTTCATAAAATACACGATTTTTTTTTAAAGAAAGTTTATCATAAACAGTACTATTATTTGTTTATATTCCTCATTTTATAAGATAATATGATTGTTATGTTTGGCCCTTCACATATTATATCTTAAATCGTTTGAACTTTGGAGTAATTAAGAAGCTGTTCGGGATTAGTAAAATGTCACGTTTTACTCTCTACGTTGTTTTATACAAAACACTATTACTCAATGTATTTTTACCTAAAACAAAGAAATTAAGTAAGTGGTTAATTATTTGGATAGACAAGAAAGTAACGCGAAACATATCATGAAGAAATTACATGATTTGTACGTTCTTCAAATGAATTGATTTTTAGTTTTTATTTTAAAAATAAGCAGATCTTTTTTTGTCCTTAACAATCAAATTTATGCATAGCAACATAAATTCTGTAAGAACGCGAAATATAACTTATAAAATATAAATTTATACCTCGCGAAAAAATTATTTACCTTGGCGGACAAAAGTACTATAGATCCCATAGTATTGCCTCAATGACCCACAAATCACCAATGTGGCAATGACTCCAACTTTTAAGACTTTTTTTTCAAGATATTTAATTTTCTTTCTTAGTAGTATTAACTTTTCTTGTTGAAGAAAGAAAAAATGTCCTATATTTTGACAATAAATTTGCATTTGAACTTCCAACCACCATTCATGCCACAAATTATGCAGTGAGACATCTTTTTTATTTAATATATATATATATAAAAAAAACACTACTTTTTCTACTACTAAAAAATGCAAGGTGTGATAAAAAGGAAATAGAGTCATCTTTCCACTGTTTTTGAATATAAAAATTGCAATCATTATATCTCTTTCAAATGACTTTTAAACTTGGTAGGTTGTGGAGTTATGAGCATTGTACTACTCCTAGTTGTTAACTTATATAGAACAATAATTTAACACTCTATCGGTTCTAAAATAGTTGTCACGTTTCACTTTTTGAGAGTTTGTTTAATTAATTTTCAAAGCTAAATTAAATTAGATGAATTAAATTTTAAAATTAAAAATTAGATATTCAAAAATTGTATGAAAAGTACTATAAACTGCAATTTTCTCATATCAATATGAGTTGTCAAGTGACGATTGATCGAGGGGACTTCCATCATGTAGATGGGTACAAATAATCCAGTTAAAGACGAGTAGACATGACATTAGGCTAGTGTCAGTGGGGTATGTAAATAAAGACAAATCAAATGGTTTTGTATTGATCAGTTTCGAACTGTCGAGTGACGATTGCTCCATCTCTTAAGAAAGGACGTGGAGGTCTGTCTTATAATAAAGGGTACTCTCTTTTCTGATGTTCGCTATATTATTATGTCGTTTGACTCTAAATAGAAAATCGTGACAAGTATTTTAAAATACTGAGAATAGTTTTTACACTCATAAGAGTTAATTACATGTCTTAGGACATATATCATATATAATAAATTGCTCAATTATGAACCATTGCATGATATCTTAATCAATGATTTTCTAAGTCCACGCACATATATATAGGGAGACAAAATGATGTTAACAAAGCTATAATGAAAAGATGAATCTCAAAACAATATCCAGATCTTATAAACTAGGACATTATTCAGTCATGTTTTTATATAATTTGGAAATTAAGATGAAGAAATAATACTTAGAGAGTAATTCTTTTGTGTTTGTCATTTGATATCCAACGACATTGAAAAACTTTGAAGGTAAAACAATTTCTAGAAAAGAAATTTCATTTTTACGGCTCAAACTCAAAATTTCTTTAATTAAGAAAGAAAGAATAAGAATAAGTTGTGAGCACTAATGTTTACAAGTGAAATTTAGTCATCGGGCTAACAGAAACAAAATTTATGGTGTAATATATATCTTGCAATAAGGCGTAATTATTATTGCATTACATTTTGTTGGTTAAAAAACTTCACTCTTGAGCTTTGATGCCTTCTTAAAATTTAGTGTGAGTATCCACACAGAGGAGGGTCAAGTAGGATTGATAGACTTTTAGGTTGGCAAACTGCTGAAAATGAGAAGCACACGCCATTTTAAGTAAATTTCTCATAGAAATGATCAGAGAGGAAAGTGAAGAGTTTTATAATACACAACACAACTTTACATGATACACACACTTTTAGAGTTCAATGTTGTGTAGCCTGAAACACAAATTCGTGCTAGCCTAAAACAAAGCAAACTATACGTGTCATTGACTCTAATAAGGACAAATTAAATATGATATCAGAGCATGTATCCCCTCAGTACAATGATAGGCAAATTTTAATGGGGACGTTGAATTCCTAAGGGGTGGGGGTCTGTTAGGCCTCTTGGTAGAGGACGGATTGATGAGGGCGAGTAAAGTAGGAATGAAAAACTTTTGAAGATGACATGTACATGACACCTTAGGTGAATCTCACACCAAAATGAGAGTAAAAAGTGAAAAAAATTTATAAAACATAACTCAACTTAATATGATATACATGTTTTTAAGACTCGATAGTCGATATAGCATAGTCCAAAAGATAAATATGTATAAACCTCGCCTAAAACAAACAATATGTGTCATAGACTTGGATCTTGATCTAGTTCTTTCTGCATCAATTTTTTCTTATTAATAATAATAAAAAATCCACCACATTTATTTTAATTAATTTAATAAAAATTATTAACTCTATGGTAAAATTCTAGTCAGCAAAAGCTGCCAAACTCCTTCACACCAAACTACAAGTCCACATATATTTTGAGAACAAAGACCCAAATTTTCCCAAAACCCAATATAACAATCAATAGTAACGGCAGAATCATCTATTTTTTTTTCCTTTTCCGAAATGACCATTATGCCCTTGTGCACTGACAGTTGATTTCTAAAAAGACGAGAAGAAGCTTGCTGAATTAACGCCTTAACCGTCGGTGGGCCACTCTAAATAAAGTAGTGGCACTATCGTTAATAAAATAACAAGCGATGGGTCACATGGACATAAAGGGTGTGCTTGACTAGTTGGTGTGAAGAAATACTTTTAGTACTGTCACATTATTTTATATGATGTAGTTTGATTCGGCATGAAATTTAAGAAAGAAATAAAGATTTTTAAAATTTATGGTCCAAAATGAATGATAGAAATTTGTGTGACTGTAAATCATTTTATTAAGGATAAAATAGATATTTTATAGTTAAATTATTACTTGATATAGAAATGTGTCATTCTTTTTAAAACTGACTAAAAAGGAAAGCAAGTCACATAAATTGGGATAGAGGGAGTAGTAAAGAACCAAGATTTCTTAAATTTGTCTATTTACTCTATTTAGATACAGAAATTATTCTAATTGATATTGATGAGTAGAATTAAAATCATAAAATCTTAGGCATGTTTCAAATGATACTTATGTGTATGATTAAAGAAAAAATATATTTTACTTTTTCTGTCCATTTTTAATTATCATGGTTTCCATTTTTAGAGTCAAACTATAAAATCTTTTACTAACATTTTATGATGTATTTTTTCATCATAATGATATGCAAAAAATTGCGATTTATAGTACTTTTCGTATATTTTTTGAATATATAATTTTTTTTGTTTAAAATTTTGAATTAATGTAATCTAATTTAACTTTGAAAATTAGTCATATTGACTTTCGAAAAACACAATATCACAATTAAAAGTGGACAGAGATAGTATATGATTAATTTTTCAATATAATGAATTCTTGTGAACATGTAACTTTTCCAAAAAAAGAGCAAAAAATAATAGACACTGTATCAAATGTTTAGATGCTCAATTAAAAACCATAATTTGGATGTTTAAATGAGATTTACTAATAAATTTAAAGAACTATCCATGTATTCAACTAATATGCATTATTCAATTTTACAATGTTCTTTTCTATAGAAATAAGTTATTTAAAAAGTAAGACAATGGTTTCTTATAATTGATTTTCTTCCTTGCTCTTCCTTAGTAGCAGGAAAGGAGTCTATTTATCTGCTTAACATTGATAGATTTTCCCTAACTTAATCCATAGAAATTTCACGAATCTCTTGGTGGATAAGCCTAACGACTCAACAACAGTACAAAATCAAGTTTCTTGATGGATTTGATCTAGTAATGATTAAGGAGGGCAAACATACTAAAAAATTCGGAGAAGGAAGGCACATAAGAGTATTTGTATAACCTATTCATATTAGTGAAATGGTTGGTATCTGCATTCCAATCCAACTAAATTTGATTGCGCATAAAAAATATTCACATTTGGTATAAAAATACTTCCTTGAAAGGGTAATTCTGTATCACGTAAAGCTCAAACGTGAAATCTTTAATTAATGATAAAAAAGTACTTATGCTCCACCCTTTGCTTCCCACCAAACACACCCAAAAAGTTGCATTAACCTTTTCCCTCTTTATAAAAATCCAACTCCCCCCAAAAGAACACTACACAACCTTACTCCAAAAGTGCTCACACTATACCCACAGCCAAAACAACACACTGTCGGCAGACACACCTCCCTCTTCCCCTGTTTATTTGCTCTTTTGTTTCTTTCTTCTGTTTACACACAACACTCCCTCGGTTTCTCCGCTAGCCGGAAACTGAGGATTTATACTTCTTCTTGTTTTTATAATTATACTAGTGACCCACATTTTACTTACATTATGGAAACTCACTCCCAAAATTTCAGTTTCACTAAGTTTTACTCTGTAGTAGCTGTAGTTGTAATTTTTTGGCCGTTCATGGCTTCCGCCGGCCCCCTCCGTCGTGTTGTCGACACACATTGGTACCCTGCTACTGCCACGTGGTATGGTAGCCCCGAAGGCGACGGCAGTACTGGTACGTAACTTCCCAATTTTAACCAACATTGATAAATTTTAGGGTTAAATGGCTTGATTTGATGTAAATGGAATTTCATTGTAGTTTCGAACCCTCACCAATAAAATGCAGGTTTTGCGCTCTAGCAACTGAGCTATTAAAATTGTAGGGTTTTTGTTTTGGATAAAGTAAAGCTGTTTTTGTTTTTTTTAAAATGGTGGAATTTATGTTCAGGTGGGGCATGTGGGTATGGGTCAATGGTGGATGTGAAGCCGTTCAGGGCCAGAGTAGGGGCAGTGAGTCCCATTTTGTTCAAAAATGGTGAAGGATGTGGGGCCTGCTATAAAGTGAAGTGTTTGGACAGTTCCGTTTGTTCGAGAAGAGCGGCGACGGTGATTATTACCGATGAATGTCCCGGCGGGTACTGCTCCGGCGATAGAGTTCACTTCGATCTTAGTGGCGCCGCCTTTGGCCATATGGCTGTTTCAGGTTACGGCGGAAGCCTCCGTGACCGGGGTGTAATCTCCATCCTCTACCGCCGGTGAGTCATTGAACTGAAGAAAAAAAAATCCTCATTTTTTATTCTTGTTATAACGGTCTTTTTTTTTTTTTCCATTTTGTCTATTAGTGTTCAGTGGTTTGTGTTGTATTACTCCCGTCCCAAAAATGCTTGTCACATTTCGCTTTATTTTTATCGAGTCTAAGTTAAATGAAGTTAATATTAAGATGGAGTTTTTTTTAAAAAAAATTGGCTCTTGAAAAACAAATTGTGATAACTATTTTGGGACGAGGAGTAAGCCATAAAGTTTTTGACATGGCACTGTGCTATTTTTGTTGACAATGACACCCTCAGTTCAGTGACTATGTTGGGGTTATTTCTGTCAATTTTTTTGTCATTTGATGACGATACAGTTTAGTATGATTAAATATTGCTTTAATAATTTGCCCATATTCACAGTTTCACACACAGGAAAAAGTGAATTATTTTCTGTTTTCTGGTGTATTGTTTCTACTTATTTTTATCCTTTTTGGTCAAAAACTTCACTGCTCTTTTCTTGGTTTGCATGAATTTAAGTCTGACTGCTGACCCCACTTCTCCTCTGACCATATTTATTTCTCTATGTGGTGTCTTGCTAGCTTGCTCGCACCATGATTAATCCAATAAAGGGTTTATTATCTCTCACTCGTATAAATATTAGATAATTTTATTCATTAAAACTCGAACGATTTTTGTTTATTGAATCTATGATTTTCAATTATGTTATTGACTATTTACATTACACTCATAGTGCAATTTTGTGGTTTGTAGAACTCTATGTAAGTACCCTGGAAAGAACATAGCCTTCCATGTAAATGAAGGCTCAACACCTTACTGGCTCTCTCTTCTTGTTGAATTTGAAGATGGAGATGGTGATGTTGGATCTATGCATATCAGAGAGGTACAAATATCTTTAATCACTAAGCTTTTGTTTACTGTTTTTTTTACACTGTCATGTCAAGATTATTGCGATATCTCTGATATAACTAACTTGTTGCTTGGATCATTCAAAAATGTTGTCGTACAATCACTTTTGGAGGATCTGACACACAATAATATCTTTAAAGATTCCTGGCAATAGATTATATAACTTAACTTTTTATTTGAACAGTCAAACTGAAGAAAGAAAGTTTGTTAGATTCATAATGATTTTTGTGAATATTGCACTTTTAGTCAAAAGAAGCTTTCAAGTATTACTATTATAAAGGATTAGAAAACATGTTATGGTCCCTCTACACTTTCACTAATATAAAAAAAATGAGCTTTAAGATTAAAAAGCTCTGTTTTAGAAGAGTCTTTACAATTTACAAGAATTGAAAACTTATTAGTATTATTAAAACAAATCCGAATATATTTGAGGCTTTAAGAATCACATGGTGCCAACAGACAAAAGCTAAATCTTTGTTTGACATTATGAAAGATTCATTTGTCCTACTTTGATACTCTCTCTCTGTCACAATCACACCATTGTTTTACCAAAGAATATATGGTGTAACTTCTTTTTTGAGTATTAAAAGTTTAACTCCATCTTGGCTTGTTTATCCAAAGTAACATTATGCACTTTATATCACTTTTGTTACATGCTTTTCCTTTTTTATCACTGTTGTTCAATAGTGAAAAAAGTTGCCTCAAAGAAGTACATTGCAAAAAAGTGTGTCCTTTTTTCCTCTCTTTTTTATTGAGGGTGTGTTTTATACGGAATCTTTTTTATGTTTGGTTGGTCAAAACGTTTTGGACAACATGGAAAAACAAGTTCCTTAAGAATCAAGAATAACTTTTCCGGTAGGAGTAGGAAAATCAAGTTTCATAAATAGCATTTCAAGCTCATTGTCTCCTCCCCCATCCCCAACGCCCTCCACCCCTACCCTAGACACCTCGTGACCACCCTACCCCACCCCTATAGAGTTTTTCTAGATTTTATATATGTTGTTGAGACGCTCTCTTCTTGCTTACTTACCAAACACCAGAAGTATCAAACAAACAAGAATTACTATAGAGATTCTTAACAATTGCTGAATATTTCAGGCAAGGTCGAATCAATGGATAGAGATGTCACATTTATGGGGAGCATATTGGGCCATAATTGGAGGGCCAATGCAAGGACCATTTTCAGTGAAGTTAACAACACTCTCAACAGGAAGAGCCCTTTCAGCAAGAGATGTTATCCCAGGCAATTGGTCACCTAAAGCTACTTACACCTCGCGGCTTAACTTCTAATCTATCGATTGCCCTTCAATTTATGTGGGCGCGATCTTTTCTACCCTATTTTTCGCCAAGGAAAAGTAGCCGTTTGGATCGATATAAGTATAGTATCCAAGGCTCTTTCTTGGTTGTTAACTTTTGTTCTTGTGTGGTTAGTTATAGTTAACAAGGTTGTCAATAGTAGCCTTCTCCAAAGGAGAGTGAGCTCTTTTGCCTTGTGTTTTTTTCTCTTCTTTTGTGTGTAGTAAGTTTGATTTTTTTTTATGACCGTGATGTTTGGATCAACTTTCGCGCACCTCAACTAGTTTCACGGAATACCTGCCTATCAGCAGTGGAACTCTGTCCACTAAAGATAGAACAGATAGGAAGAATTACCTAGTGGGGGTCCTTTGTGTGTGTGTGTGTGTTTTAATTGAGGATATATAGAGGACCAAATGTAATGTTGAAACATGAATGAATTATGTGGGGGACCTTTCTGCCCTTTTGTGTAGTTTGGTTCTGTTTCTGATATATTTTAATATGTTTGTCACTATGCAATATGATTGCAACATGAGAAATTTGATAAAAAGTCGTCAACGGTCACTATATATATCAGAGAAATTCTCATCTTGTCTCTTCTGAATCAAATTAATGCAAATCCAATCCTTGTTAATATTAACTTATAAAAGTTTGCTCAAATGCTATCATATATTATTTCTCAGGTTAGTTCATGAGGTGATAATTGTTCAAAATCATATAATAAGATAAAATAATTTACTCACAATCGATGTTGGACTCTGACACCCCTCTATATGTCCAGAATTGGACATTTGAAATGTGGATAATATATTGTGAGGGTCAATATTAGATAAATCAAGAATTGAGACGAATATGACTATGATAAAAATGAATTTTGAACTTAACTCAAATGGCGAGAATTGTTCGAGACTATACGAAGAAAACAATTTTGTCCCAACCAATATGGGAACTTAACATCCCCACCAAAAGGTCTACACATGTGTTGTGACCGTGACCATTTTTAAGAGAAGTCATTTTTCTTTCATAGACGTTTAAGATAAAATGGAAGACAAAGATAGATTATGACCTTACTATTGGGAGAATGTGGTGGGGTCTGATTTCAAGATTGGGGCTAAGCAATTGGGTGATCAGTTGGAATGAATGCAAAAATATGTTCTGAAACAAACACGCATCTATTTTTTTTTTTAATGTATATAAATACCAAAAAGTATGCTTCAATTTAAATGTCTTAATTTGTTTGAACATAACGTTTAAGAATAAAGATAGATTTTTAAATATGAAAATCTTAATTTTAAAATACATATAATCTTTTACGTTTAATGATCTTAAACTTGTTACGCAGATGGTTAAATTTTTTTAAAAAAAAACTTCCAAAAATGATAATGTTTGTCCACACGTGAAAGCGGTCCCAATAATATTGAACAATTCTAACTTCATAAATGGGATTCAACTGACACACACTCTTATGCATGTGCCCAAATCCTCCAAAAATAAAGGATAATTCACACTCGTGAACATCAGAGGTCTCTTAGCTTCGCTTCTGTTTGATCATAAATTTTGAAGTTAAATTAAAAAAATAATAATTTAAATTTAAAGTTATATTTGAACATGCATTTTTTCTTAAAAATTTGAAGTTTGTGAGTGGAAGTCTTAAGAACTAAAAAACTGACCTGAATCAGTTTTTGAAACTTGAAAATATTTGAAGATCACATGTAAATTTCATAATCAAATAGATATTTGAAGATAAATTTTCAAAATCTATGACCCGCCGTACAATAGGAGCCCTCTCCAAAGGGGAGTGAGCTCTTTACCTTGTGTTTTCTTCTTCTTTTTTGGGTGTAAAAGTTTGATTTTTGGTTGTTTGTAAGGCTAAGTTAGTGGGGGTCCTTTGTGTGTATTTTAACAAAGAAAGGACCTAATGAATTCACATGTAATGTAATGTTGAAACAAGAATGAATGATGTGGGGACCTTTCTGTCCTATGGGTAGTTTGGTTCTGTTTCTTACAATTTAATATCTTGTCACTTTCAATTTACAAATTATATTATTTATTTATTTTTGATAGTTTTTTAATAATAATTTTCACATAACAGGTTCAACCACAAGATTTGAGCTATTTTCTTACTGGGTGGTCACTATTTTTAAGTGAAGGTGTTTTTCTTGATAAGCGTTGTAGATAAAATGACAGATTATCTTTGGGTATGGAAAAATCTTTAGTAGAGTGTGTTTTCTTTCGAATGGGAGCCTACGCAGAGTGAATTTAAAATAATCAGACTCCGATACAAATATCAGACAAAAAAATACCAAACACCTCTATCTATCACATGCAATCAGTAAAGAATTTAGTTTGGAAGGTTGACACGTGAAACCGGTCCCAATAACTAATTAAACCAGTAACTCTACTTCTGGTTAACTTCATACCTCTTTTGTTTATTTTTACTCGTCCACGATTTTAAAATAATAAAATAAAGTGTATATTTTATTATGATACCCATATTAATTAGTATATAGTATTTAATAGACTTGAGATATAATAATAATTTGGAATGAATAATTTGACTCTGAGGGTAAAGTACAAAAAAAAACAATCTTTTTCTTTGATGTGTTAAAATGGACAAATGAAAATGAAAGGGAAGATGAATTTGGATTCAATTGCCACAGAGTTTTATGCATGTGAATGGGCATGTGCCCAAATCCTCTCAAGATAAAGAAGAATTCACACTCGTGAACATAGAGGCCACTTAGCGAAGATTCTCAAGATTTCTCTTTGACATTTATGTAGAGATGGACAAATTTGGGGACACAAACATTCAACTCTTTGGTCCTTGTGACAATAAACTACTATAAGGAATAGGGGGTAACGTGGACCTTTTTACACAATATGTCATTGCATTTAATTTTGTAACGGGTCACCCGTCTTATTTTTTAGTTCCTAATCTCAATCTCTTATAAAAGACTACTTATAATTATCTTTTACGTGATTTGACATTGTGAAAATTCTAAAACTCTGAATCTATAGAAGTTACTTGTGACAATGGTTGACAAGAAAACATATAGAGAGAGGGGTGGTGGGGATTCTGAAGTTATGAATACATTGGACATTTGAATATCTTTAATCCGAAAATATGTTGTATATATAGAGATCAAAAATTACTTTTTATGTATATGTATTAAATCTTGAGCATTCTTGACGAAATTCCTGATTTCGCTATTGCTTGGATGTATCTTTCACACAAACACTACGGGTGTGTTTGGTATGAAGGAAAACATTTTCCGGAAAATGTTTTCCTTTTCTCATGTTTGGTTGGGTTAAATGTTTTGAAAAATGTTTTCCAAATCAACTCATTTTCCTCAAATTTAAGGAAAATGACTTCCCTTCAAAACTTAAGGAAAACATTTTCCAAAACTCTCTTCCAACTTCCAATTAAAAAAAAAAATTGTTGAAAAAATCAATTTATTTTGTCCCTACCCTCAAACCAGCCCCCCAACCAACCCCCCCCTCCCCCCAAAAAAAATTTAAAGCTTGTTTTTAAATTCAACCCCTACCCCTACCCCCACCCCCTCCCAAAAAATATTAAAAATTATTTTTAAAAGATATTTCTAATTTCAATTTTTTATTTTTTATCCCCACCCACTACCCTCGCCCCCTCCCCCCTCTATCAATTTTTTTTATTGTTTTTAAAAAATATTTTCAACTTCAATTTTTTATTTTTTCATCCCGATCCTCGATCACCCACGCCCCCTCCCCGGCCTGCCCCCCCTCCCCCCCAAAAAAAAATTGAGTTTGTTTTTAAAAAATATTTTCTATTTCAAAATTTTATTTTTTTCACCCCTACACTCGATCCTCCCCCTCCCCCCCAACTCACCCACCCCCTACTCGCCACCCCTACCCCAAAAAAAATAATTTAATTTATTTTTAAAAAATACTTTCAATTTCAAAATTTCATTTTTTCACCTTATCTTGAGCCCCCCCCCCCCCCCCCCCTCACTCACCTCCTACCCAACCCCCCCTCCCCCCCCAAAAAAAAAATAATAATTTAAGTTTGTTTTTAAAAAATATTTTCAACTTCAAAATTTCATTTTTTCACCCTACTCTTGACCCCCCCACCCACCACCTACCCAGCCCCCCACCGCCAAAAAAGAAAAAATTAAGTTTGTTTTTAAAAATATTTTCAATTTTCAATTTCAAAATTTCATTTTTTCACCCCTACCCTCGACCCCCAACCCACCCACGCCCTACCAGCCCCCCCCCCCCAAAAAAAAAATAAAAAAATTTAAGTTTGTTTTTAAAAAATATTTTCAATTTCAAAATTTTATTTTTTCACCCCTACCCTTGACCCCCCCCCCCCCCCCCCCACCTCCTTACCAGCCCCCATCCCCCAAAAAAAATTTAAGTTTGTTTTCAAAATATATTTTCAATTTCAAAATTTCATTTTTTCACCCCTACCCTCGACCCCCCCACCCCACCCACCCCCTACCAGCCCCCAGCCCCCATCCCCCAAAAAAAATTTAAGTTTGTTTTTAAAAAATATTTTGAACTTCAAAAATTCAATTTTTCCACCCTACCCTCAACCCACCCCGTACCACCCACCCCCAAAAAAATTTAAGTTTGTTTTTAAAAAATATTTTTAATTTCAAAAATTATTTTCTACCCTAGTAAAAATAAAAGATATTTCTCAAGAACAAAAAATCATTCATAAATCAAACACTAAAAATCTTTTCCGAAAAATATTTTCTACTTACCAACCAAACATGAGAAAATAAGTCAAAAATCAACTTGTTTTCCAGGAAAACATTTTCCTTCATACCAAACACACCCTACATCTAAATATGACTATGAATAGTATAAGGGTGCATTCAACAATCTAAAGTGGATCATGATATATTCTTTGCTGGAAACTGGGAACAGAGTACATGACCAACTTAAAATACGGTCAAGTGGCTGAACGCCCCTCTCCTTACGATCAAGTGGCTGAACAAAAATGAATGTAACACTGACCTTATGTGTTAGGCTCACCTAGTATCTATAATATATACTAGTTTATCAAACCATAATCTCTTTGGCCTTATATTTAGAATAAAATTATCAATGGAGAAATAGCTTTGCACACACTTCAAACAACAAAATTACAGTCCAAAGCAATTTTGCAGTGTCTATTTTTCCTTTTCTCTGTTATTTTATAACTCAAATATATCAATTACTACAGACCTACACCAGGAATTTATGCACATCATAAAAACAAAAAGCTTCGAAGCACACGGATAGCAAGCTGAAATTCCTGCTATAATAGCTGCTTTCAATTGTATAATGGAAAATGAAACAACAAATTCATCGTGTGACTAAGTAAAAAGAAGCCTAAACACATCAGGAAGAAAGCCCCTGACTGCAGATCATATGTCCTCAAAAGTCCAGTTGCTCTTATATGTTACTAGAAAGAGAGCAACAAGGTATAAAGAATGAATAAATGATAATGACTCTAGAAAAACATAATTAAGAACTAATTAAGCTAGAAGAGAAAATGCAGTATTGGAACTAACTTATGCAGTTGAGGTAGAATCACTTTCTGCAACTTTTCCGTCTGCGACTGTAGTTGGTGTATCCACCTTTGATTCTTTTGGAGTACCAACACTGGCAGCAGCTGGAGATCCTTGTTGTGCAGCCTCTGCATCCTTGACTGATGAAATATCGTTGTCAATAGCAGCAGCTGGAGATCCTTGTTGTGCGGCATTTTCCTCGTTCTTGGCATCATTAGCTGCTTTTCCTTTGGGACTTTTCTCATTTTTGGCATCCTTAGACGCCTTTGGTGTTGCGATTTTCTCATTTTTGCCATCCTTAGCCTCCTTTGGTGTGGAAATCTTTTCATTTTTGGCATCCTTTCCTTCCTTCGTTTCCTTGGTGTCCTTTCCGTCCTTGGCATCCTTGCCTTCCTTTCCGTCCTTGGCAACCTTACCATCCTTGGCATCCTTGCCTTCCTTTCCATCCTTACCATCCTTGTCTTTCTCAGGAGGAGGTAGCATATGTGGGGGAGGGTTCTGCTTCAGCTTGAGAAAAAGTTGGCGCATTCTAGACAGGTCAGTGGGTTTCCCAGGCTTTGGGCCCTGGATGACTGAAACTGAAGGCTTCTTCTCCTCCTCCTTCTTGCCTCGCCTCTTCTCAATATTAGGGACCTCACGGGGTATAATCTCTGCAATTGCTTTAAAGTATTGTTTGTGAGCTTCTTTGTGAAATTTCTCTTGGTTGGCCAGGTATAACTGCACAAAAGCACATGGATGGTCATATCCTATCAATTACTATTTTCACATAAAAGAGGTTTGAGTGCAAGCAGTTACTTTCTCCCTTTCTCGGTTATTAGCTTTTGTCGATTCACAATTGAGTGTCCGTTTTTCATAAAATGCTCGTATATACTCCTCAGCTTCAGCAATAATCTGATTCCTCATTTCCTTTTCCTTCTTCTCCTTCTCCTCAAGATAAATGGCATTTTGGCTGCAGAAAATAGACAGGAGACACTATTAGATAGCAAACATGCTCGATCTTCGCAAGCATTATATGCATGTTAAAGCATTGGGCGCGAGTATGCATCTGATGGTGTATATCAAGTAAAATAGTGTAATATGTTAATAAACTTTATAAGAAACTGAATTTGATCAGAACCTCCTTAAGGTTCCAAATGCAGTACCTCGCTAAATATCTCAACTATGTAAGTAACTGCAGAAATTTTAACCAATTAACATCATGTGGTGTGCTAGCTGTAGAAGTAAGTTAAACATCACTATTTTCTGTAGAAAATGATAATTTCATTCATAACCTGTTGAAAATCTCACTGGAAAAAAAAGAGGTTAATTTCCTACAGTTCTATCGATTGTGTTCAAAATATGTACATATTATCCTAGAAAGGACATTTAGGAAACAAAACAATTCAATCACAATCATTGACGACAATAATAGCATTAACTAAGAAAGCAGACTGTTGTCATCTGCCCCCTCCCTCCCCTCCCCCCAATCACAATCATTGACGACATTAGTAAGACATTAACCAAGAAAGCAGACTTGTTCACACACTGAATCGCCAAAAAAGAAAAAAGGAACAATGAGAAAATCAGAGCTGAACACAGGGAGCTAGATATTTAAATTTCTCAGAAGGTCATACATGATTAAAGTTAGTCTTCTGCTCTAGTAAACCAACATCACTTTCATACCCTCCTCTTTCATGAACTGTTAGAAGTCTTATTGCAATAATTGGCTTCTTGCATACAATGACTGATCCAAGATGCCCCAGAGACATGCAAAACTCTAGCTACAAATTAGTAGTATGACATTAGTTTGGTCTAGTAAGATATTAGCTCTACTTGACATCTTGGAAATTTTTAGCAGCAAGTTTTAAAGCTGTTGCTACTTATTTTGTTTTTGTATCGTGCAGTGTAGAAACTCAATTATGGTAATCATTGCAGATACCATCCAGCAAGTCTCAGAATGATTCTGTGTTTTAACCTCTGAACTGAAAGGAGTTGGCACAAATCGAATTACTCTTGATGCCTCCTTTCTAATTTATCTCTAGGACACCATTGCTTGAATCTAAGATGAGTTTTATTCACGAAACAACACATTCTGCAGTCTAAATTTTGAAATGACAAAGTCAAATAACTGCCAGTGTAATTTTTTCTCTTATATCCAATAAAATAACACAATCATCATTTCAAGTTGTTATCTTGGTATAAATCAGCAGACCATTGCTCTAGTGTTTGAGATTTTGAATGAAGCCTTTAAATCCATGAAGATGCAGAACAAGCTTAATTATTGATCGCAATCTATCGCACTGTGAGTAGCATTAATTACCTAGTCTAGTTCCTCTGAACTCATAAAATCAAATAAATCCTCATCGTTACGCATCTTCAAGGATGATATAGCTCCTAAACGAATAATAGATGCATGCTCACTATATTGTATCAGAATAAAATACAAAGTGTGGCCACCATATTTTTTTTGTGTAATGCACTAGCAAACTTGAACTAGTGGTGATCCTGGCGCATATCAACAGTGAGAGAAGATGCAGTTGCATTATCCAAATTCTACATGTTAGGATATTCCAGAGTAAGTGCAGCTAATGAAAATGGGACTTTGTACACTGTGTGCTTTTACGACACTTAGAATGTTGGGTTTCTAACGACCCGACAGCACCTTCTAGGAAAATCAGGTGCATAGCTGCGGGTGGAGCTTTTGTTCTAAATACATATATTCAAAGGATTTATGTTACTTACACGGATAGTGTTATGATTTTTTTACTCCATCAATGTAATTTAACCTGTTATATTAGGTTGTTTACCATTTTATCTAGGATAACAATCAATGTTAATAAATAGACTTACCTATATTACCTTTTACATTATCATTTTAAGGAACTTAATTAAACACTTCTCAATATACATACCCTCCAAGTCCTTGACCACTCAAATACTGGATCCGCCACTTTCCGTGCATTGTAACATAAAGTATGAGTACATTTGACTCTTGATTCATTAATTCCACTAAGAGCTAAGGTCATATATTTGCCATACAAGTACTCAACAAAAGCCAGATTAAGGCAATTAACGTCAAGCACAAATCTAAAAAACAAATTGAAAAAAGCTCAAACATAATTCAGCATAAATGAAGCCAAAAGAAACACAATTAAGCATACACATTGTAAAACTTACCGACGCCATTCTCGAAAAGCAGCACCTTCCTCACGCATCTCGGTAGGATCAGGAAGCAACGGTCCATCAGTACCGGATGAAAAAAGGCCATCCGTATCAGCTCCGAGATCATATGTCTTAGATTGCACATCAGATCCTTGATTACCCTCCAATGTCTCATGAAAAGGTGAACCTTGATACTCGCGATTAGGAGATGGAGCAAATCCACTATTCTCCGGCGACTGCATGTTATCATGATAGTAATGCGGCTGTTCACCTGCAGAAAAATCATCTATATCAGACGGCATCGGCGGAGGAACATCGCCGCCGTCATCGGCGGAGGTAACATCGAACTCATAACGATGGGAATGGTCGAATCCGTCGTAGTTGTGATCGTCGAAAGGACTTGCCGTCGACGGGATCTCTTCCGTACCGTCGGCGTAGGTTTGTTCGAAATTCTCCATATTTGTTGCGTAGTGTTTGAAAAGGTCCCCAGTGAAAATGTGGTTGTATTTGGATATGCAAATGAAAAATGCATGTTGCTAACGAACAGAGCGGTCGCACTGTGGAAAAAGTCTTTTTTTTCTGTCCACTTGTAGCTCTGCCAAATTTATTTTTGAGCCAAAAATATATAACATTATATTCATTAAAATAATATAATACAAATATAATACGATATATTAAAAAAAAAAAAAAAAGCTATTTACTTTACACAATCTAATAGGTTGTGAAAAAAGCTATTTACTGTTTGCTAGTAGTATAGTGAGGATTGATTATACATTGGGTTTGTACAACGAGTGGATTAAATTGAATTTGTACAAACTAAAATTCATTTGGTTAATAAATAATATGTTCAAAAGTTTTTTGTTCAACTTGGCATAAATTTTTATTTCTTTGTTCATTTTTCTATAATCCCTTTTGAGAATTTGGCATATAGTAAGACAAGTCCTTTGAAGCAGCACCACAAATTACCTAATTCATTCGGCATAAGCTAGATAACTTTTGTCTCACTCGGCATAAATTTTAACCAAGGAGCATTATAAGGCTCCATAGCTGTGATGTGAAACTAGATCCACTAAGAGGCGATTTATATCCTCTCTATGCCTCTTGCTTAGGCTGCACCATCCTGTAGCAATTTCCCTCCTCCTTGGTTGTATGTTTTCATGGAGGAGAAGCTTAAACCATGAAAGAAACTTTTAGATTAGTCATCAATAATTGTTGCTCTGTTGGGTAGTGAATTGTCAGCTTTTTGATGGTCTTTATTCCTTTATATATACTATGGAATACCCTTGAATTCAGAATAATTGATTAATTCTCATGCTGGTGATGCTGAACTTCGCATAATAGTTGATCGAATCTTGGCACACTATGGTGAAGATCTACTTTTGTATGCAATGCTCTTATTTCAACATGCTTGCAACTCCTATTTATCATCTTTGTATTGTTGTTCTTGTCAGTAAAATAAACAGCTCTTAATGTTTCCATTTCTCCGATGGTCTTGCTTTAGTCAGACCTCTCCATCCACCCTTATCTTCTCTTTTACAAAACTAGGTACATTATAATATCCATTGGACATTTTATTCCTTCCTTTTTTCTTTTTTTCTTTTCAAGGGTTAAAGGTGATGAGAAGAGATTATTGACTATTTTTTTCCTGCAAGTTCTTAAATTTCTTGCCACTTAGTTGCAACTGCTCATTAATCAGTTAGAGTTTTTAACCTAACAACAATTATTAGCGATTAACAACTTATAACAGTCATCCCAACAGACTGAGGATGCTTTATCCCAGAGAATGGAGGCATTGAAATAGTCTTTGGCTGAGACTTTTGCAGGGTCTCTTGGACCTTCAGGTTCCTCTGGGAATGTTGCAAATTATATGGGTCAAATATCCATGGCAACGGGGAAGCTTGGAACTCTTGAGGGTTTCATACGACATGTGCTTAATCAGTCTTTCACATTTGTGTCTATTCCTTTGAAGTTATATATTTGCTTTGTCTAAAGTGCTTCCTAAAGCCTGCAGATTCATCATTGACATGTCAAACTTGTGCATCTTTCTGTTGGTTAGCCTTTTCCATAGTTATCTCCTTAGAAAAGAAATTGAGAGATGCATCCGGAGAAGGAAAATGAGAAGTAATGAACATCATAAAAACAAAAAGCTTCGAAGCACACGGATAGCAAGCTGAAATTCCTGCTATAATAGCTGCTTTCAATTGTATAATGGAAAATGAAACAACAAATTCATCGTGTGACTAAGTAAAAAGAAGCCTAAACACATCAGGAAGAAAGCCCCTGACTGCAGATCATATGTCCTCAAAAGTCCAGTTGCTCTTATTTGTTACTAGAAAGAGAGCAACAAGGTATAAAGAATGAATAAATGATAATGACTCTAGAAAAACATAATTAAGAACTAATTAAGCTAGAAGAGAAAATGCAGTATTGGAACTAACTTATGCAGTTGAGGTAGAATAACTTTCTGCAACATTTCCGTCTGCGACTGTAGTTGGTGTATCCACCATTGATTCTTTTGGAGTACCAACACTGGCAGCAGCTGGAGATCCTTGTTGTGCGGCATTTTCCTCGTTCTTGGCATCATTAGCTGCTTTTCCTTTGGGACTTTTCTCATTTTTGGCATCCTTAGACGCCTTTGGTGTTGCGATTTTCTCATTTTTGCCATCCTTAGCCTCCTTTGGTGTGGAAATCTTTTCATTTTTGGCATCCTTTCCTTCCTTCGTTTCCTTGGTGTCCTTTCCGTCCTTGGCATCCTTGCCTTCCTTTCCGTCCTTGGCAACCTTACCATCCTTGGCATCCTTGCCTTCCTTTCCATCCTTACCATCCTTGTCTTTCTCAGGAGGAGGTAGCATATGTGGGGGAGGGTTCTGCTTCAGCTTGAGAAAAAGTTGGCGCATTCTAGACAGGTCAGTGGGTTTCCCAGGCTTTGGGCCCTGGATGACTGAAACTGAAGGCTTCTTCTCCTCCTCCTTCTTGCCTCGCCTCTTCTCAATATTAGGGACCTCACGGGGTATAATCTCTGCAATTGCTTTAAAGTATTGTTTGTGAGCTTCTTTGTGAAATTTCTCTTGGTTGGCCAGGTATAACTGCACAAAAGCACATGGATGGTCATATCCTATCAATTACTATTTTCACATAAAAGAGGTTTGAGTGCAAGCAGTTACTTTCTCCCTTTCTCGGTTATTAGCTTTTGTCGATTCACAATTGAGTGTCCGTTTTTCATAAAATGCTCGTATATACTCCTCAGCTTCAGCAATAATCTGATTCCTCATTTCCTTTTCCTTCTTCTCCTTCTCCTCAAGATAAATGGCATTTTGGCTGCAGAAAATAGACAGGAGACACTATTAGATAGCAAACATGCTCGATCTTCGCAAGCATTATATGCATGTTAAAGCATTGGGCGCGAGTATGCATCTGATGGTGTATATCAAGTAAAATAGTGTAATATGTTAATAAACTTTATAAGAAACTGAATTTGATCAGAACCTCCTTAAGGTTCCAAATGCAGTACCTCGCTAAATATCTCAACTATGTAAGTAACTGCAGAAATTTTAACCAATTAACATCATGTGGTGTGCTAGCTGTAGAAGTAAGTTAAACATCACTATTTTCTGTAGAAAATGATAATTTCATTCATAACCTGTTGAAAATCTCACTGGAAAAAAAAGAGGTTAATTTCCTACAGTTCTATCGATTGTGTTCAAAATATGTACATATTATCCTAGAAAGGACATTTAGGAAACAAAACAATTCAATCACAATCATTGACGACAATAATAGCATTAACTAAGAAAGCAGACTGTTGTCATCTGCCCCCTCCCTCCCCTCCCCCCAATCACAATCATTGACGACATTAGTAAGACATTAACCAAGAAAGCAGACTTGTTCACACACTGAATCGCCAAAAAAGAAAAAAGGAACAATGAGAAAATCAGAGCTGAACACAGGGAGCTAGATATTTAAATTTCTCAGAAGGTCATACATGATTAAAGTTAGTCTTCTGCTCTAGTAAACCAACATCACTTTCATACCCTCCTCTTTCATGAACTGTTAGAAGTCTTATTGCAATAATTGGCTTCTTGCATACAATGACTGATCCAAGATGCCCCAGAGACATGCAAAACTCTAGCTACAAATTAGTAGTATGACATTAGTTTGGTCTAGTAAGATATTAGCTCTACTTGACATCTTGGAAATTTTTAGCAGCAAGTTTTAAAGCTGTTGCTACTTATTTTGTTTTTGTATCGTGCAGTGTAGAAACTCAATTATGGTAATCATTGCAGATACCATCCAGCAAGTCTCAGAATGATTCTGTGTTTTAACCTCTGAACTGAAAGGAGTTGGCACAAATCGAATTACTCTTGATGCCTCCTTTCTAATTTATCTCTAGGACACCATTGCTTGAATCTAAGATGAGTTTTATTCACGAAACAACACATTCTGCAGTCTAAATTTCGAAATGACAAAGTCAAATAACTGCCAGTGTAATTTTTTCTCTTATATCCAATAAAATAACACAATCATCATTTCAAGTTGTTATCTTGGTATAAATCAGCAGACCATTGCTCTAGTGTTTGAGATTTTGAATGAAGCCTTTAAATCCATGAAGATGCAGAACAAGCTTAATTATTGATCGCAATCTATCGCACTGTGAGTAGCATTAATTACCTAGTCTAGTTCCTCTGAACTCATAAAATCAAATAAATCCTCATCGTTACGCATCTTCAAGGATGATATAGCTCCTAAACGAATAATAGATGCATGCTCACTATATTGTATCAGAATAAAATACAAAGTGTGGCCACCATATTTTTTTTGTGTAATGCACTAGCAAACTTGAACTAGTGGTGATCCTGGCGCATATCAACAGTGAGAGAAGATGCAGTTGCATTATCCAAATTCTACATGTTAGGATATTCCAGAGTAAGTGCAGCTAATGAAAATGGGACTTTGTACACTGTGTGCTTTTACGACACTTAGAATGTTGGGTTTCTAACGACCCGACAGCACCTTCTAGGAAAATCAGGTGCATAGCTGCGGGTGGAGCTTTTGTTCTAAATACATATATTCAAAGGATTTATGTTACTTACACGGATAGTGTTATGATTTTTTTACTCCATCAATGTAATTTAACCTGTTATATTAGGTTGTTTACCATTTTATCTAGGATAACAATCAATGTTAATAAATAGACTTACCTATATTACCTTTTACATTATCATTTTAAGGAACTTAATTAAACACTTCTCAATATACATACCCTCCAAGTCCTTGACCACTCAAATACTGGATCCGCCACTTTCCGTGCATTGTAACATAAAGTATGAGTACATTTGACTCTTGATTCATTAATTCCACTAAGAGCTAAGGTCATATATTTGCCATACAAGTACTCAACAAAAGCCAGATTAAGGCAATTAACGTCAAGCACAAATCTAAAAAACAAATTGAAAAAAGCTCAAACATAATTCAGCATAAATGAAGCCAAAAGAAACACAATTAAGCATACACATTGTAAAACTTACCGACGCCATTCTCGAAAAGCAGCACCTTCCTCACGCATCTCGGTAGGATCAGGAAGCAACGGTCCATCAGTACCGGATGAAAAAAGGCCATCCGTATCAGCTCCGAGATCATATGTCTTAGATTGCACATCAGATCCTTGATTACCCTCCAATGTCTCATGAAAAGGTGAACCTTGATACTCGCGATTAGGAGATGGAGCAAATCCACTATTCTCCGGCGACTGCATGTTATCATGATAGTAATGCGGCTGTTCACCTGCAGAAAAATCATCTATATCAGACGGCATCGGCGGAGGAACATCGCCGCCGTCATCGGCGGAGGTAACATCGAACTCATAACGATGGGAATGGTCGAATCCGTCGTAGTTGTGATCGTCGAAAGGACTTGCCGTCGACGGGATCTCTTCCGTACCGTCGGCGTAGGTTTGTTCGAAATTCTCCATATTTGTTGCGAAGTGTTTGAAAAGGTCCCCAGTGAAAATGTGGTTGTATTTGGATATGCAAATGAAAAATGCATGTTGCTAACGAACAGAGCGGTCGCACTGTGGAAAAAGTCTTTTTTTTCTGTCCACTTGTAGCTCTGCCAAATTTATTTTTGAGCCAAAAATATATAACATTATATTCATTAAAATAATATAATACAAATATAATACGATATATTAAAAAAAAAAAAAAAAAGCTATTTACTTTACACAATCTAATAGGTTGTGAAAAAAGCTATTTACTTTTTGCTAGTAGTATAGTGAGGATTGATTATACATTGGGTTTGTACAACGAGTGGATTAAATTGAATTTGTACAAACTAAAATTCATTTGGTTAATAAATAATATGTTCAAAAGTTTTTTGTTCAACTTGGCATAAATTTTTATTTCTTTGTTCATTTTTCTATAATCCCTTTTGAGAATTTGGCATATAGTAAGACAAGTCCTTTGAAGCAGCACCACAAATTACCTAATTCATTCGGCATAAGCTAGATAACTTTTGTCTCACTCGGCATAAATTTTAACCAAGGAGCATTATAAGGCTCCATAGCTGTGATGTGAAACTAGATCCACTAAGAGGCGATTTATATCCTCTCTATGCCTCTTGCTTAGGCTGCACCATCCTGTAGCAATTTCCCTCCTCCTTGGTTGTATGTTTTCATGGAGGAGAAACTTAAACCATGAAAGAAACTTTTAGATTAGTCATCAATAATTGTTGCTCTGTTGGGTAGTGAATTGTCAGCTTTTTGATGGTCTTTATTCCTTTATATATACTATGGAATACCCTTGAATTCAGAATAATTGATTAATTCTCATGCTGGTGATGCTGAACTTCGCATAATAGTTGATCGAATCTTGGCACACTATGGTGAAGATCTACTTTTGTATGCAATGCTCTTATTTCAACATGCTTGCAACTCCTATTTATCATCTTTGTATTGTTGTTCTTGTCAGTAAAATAAACAGCTCTTAATGTTTCCATTTCTCCGATGGTCTTGCTTTAGTCAGACCTCTCCATCCACCCTTATCTTCTCTTTTACAAAACTAGGTACATTATAATATCCATTGGACATTTTATTCCTTCCTTTTTTCTTTTTTTCTTTTCAAGGGTTAAAGGTGATGAGAAGAGATTATTGACTATTTTTTTCCTGCAAGTTCTTAAATTTCTTGCCACTTAGTTGCAACTGCTCATTAATCAGTTAGAGTTTTTAACCTAACAACAATTATTAGCGATTAACAACTTATAACAGTCATCCCAACAGACTGAGGATGCTTTATCCCAGAGAATGGAGGCATTGAAATAGTCTTTGGCTGAGACTTTTGCAGGGTCTCTTGGACCTTCAGGTTCCTCTGGGAATGTTGCAAATTATATGGGTCAAATATCCATGGCAACGGGGAAGCTTGGAACTCTTGAGGGTTTCATACGACATGTGCTTAATCAGTCTTTCACATTTGTGTCTATTCCTTTGAAGTTATATATTTGCTTTGTCTAAAGTGCTTCCTAAAGCCTGCAGATTCATCATTGACATGTCAAACTTGTGCATCTTTCTGTTGGTTAGCCTTTTCCATAGTTATCTCCTTAGAAAAGAAATTGAGAGATGCATCCGGAGAAGGAAAATGAGAAGTAATGAACATCATAAAAACAAAAAGCTTCGAAGCACACGGATAGCAAGCTGAAATTCCTGCTATAATAGCTGCTTTCAATTGTATAATGGAAAATGAAACAACAAATTCATCGTGTGACTAAGTAAAAAGAAGCCTAAACACATCAGGAAGAAAGCCCCTGACTGCAGATCATATGTCCTCAAAAGTCCAGTTGCTCTTATTTGTTACTAGAAGAGAGCAACAAGGTATAAAGAATGAATAAATGATAATGACTCTAGAAAAACATAATTAAGAACTAATTAAGCTAGAAGAGAAAATGCAGTATTGGAACTAACTTATGCAGTTGAGGTAGAATAACTTTCTGCAACATTTCCGTCTGCGACTGTAGTTGGTGTATCCACCATTGATTCTTTTGGAGTACCAACACTGGCAGCAGCTGGAGATCCTTGTTGTGCGGCATTTTCCTCGTTCTTGGCATCATTAGCTGCTTTTCCTTTGGGACTTTTCTCATTTTTGGCATCCTTAGACGCCTTTGGTGTTGCGATTTTCTCATTTTTGCCATCCTTAGCCTCCTTTGGTGTGGAAATCTTTTCATTTTTGGCATCCTTTCCTTCCTTCGTTTCCTTGGTGTCCTTTCCGTCCTTGGCATCCTTGCCTTCCTTTCCGTCCTTGGCAACCTTACCATCCTTGGCATCCTTGCCTTCCTTTCCATCCTTACCATCCTTGTCTTTCTCAGGAGGAGGTAGCATATGTGGGGGAGGGTTCTGCTTCAGCTTGAGAAAAAGTTGGCGCATTCTAGACAGGTCAGTGGGTTTCCCAGGCTTTGGGCCCTGGATGACTGAAACTGAAGGCTTCTTCTCCTCCTCCTTCTTGCCTCGCCTCTTCTCAATATTAGGGACCTCACGGGGTATAATCTCTGCAATTGCTTTAAAGTATTGTTTGTGAGCTTCTTTGTGAAATTTCTCTTGGTTGGCCAGGTATAACTGCACAAAAGCACATGGATGGTCATATCCTATCAATTACTATTTTCACATAAAAGAGGTTTGAGTGCAAGCAGTTACTTTCTCCCTTTCTCGGTTATTAGCTTTTGTCGATTCACAATTGAGTGTCCGTTTTTCATAAAATGCTCGTATATACTCCTCAGCTTCAGCAATAATCTGATTCCTCATTTCCTTTTCCTTCTTCTCCTTCTCCTCAAGATAAATGGCATTTTGGCTGCAGAAAATAGACAGGAGACACTATTAGATAGCAAACATGCTCGATCTTCGCAAGCATTATATGCATGTTAAAGCATTGGGCGCGAGTATGCATCTGATGGTGTATATCAAGTAAAATAGTGTAATATGTTAATAAACTTTATAAGAAACTGAATTTGATCAGAACCTCCTTAAGGTTCCAAATGCAGTACCTCGCTAAATATCTCAACTATGTAAGTAACTGCAGAAATTTTAACCAATTAACATCATGTGGTGTGCTAGCTGTAGAAGTAAGTTAAACATCACTATTTTCTGTAGAAAATGATAATTTCATTCATAACCTGTTGAAAATCTCACTGGAAAAAAAAGAGGTTAATTTCCTACAGTTCTATCGATTGTGTTCAAAATATGTACATATTATCCTAGAAAGGACATTTAGGAAACAAAACAATTCAATCACAATCATTGACGACAATAATAGCATTAACTAAGAAAGCAGACTGTTGTCATCTGCCCCCTCCCTCCCCTCCCCCCAATCACAATCATTGACGACATTAGTAAGACATTAACCAAGAAAGCAGACTTGTTCACACACTGAATCGCCAAAAAAGAAAAAAGGAACAATGAGAAAATCAGAGCTGAACACAGGGAGCTAGATATTTAAATTTCTCAGAAGGTCATACATGATTAAAGTTAGTCTTCTGCTCTAGTAAACCAACATCACTTTCATACCCTCCTCTTTCATGAACTGTTAGAAGTCTTATTGCAATAATTGGCTTCTTGCATACAATGACTGATCCAAGATGCCCCAGAGACATGCAAAACTCTAGCTACAAATTAGTAGTATGACATTAGTTTGGTCTAGTAAGATATTAGCTCTACTTGACATCTTGGAAATTTTTAGCAGCAAGTTTTAAAGCTGTTGCTACTTATTTTGTTTTTGTATCGTGCAGTGTAGAAACTCAATTATGGTAATCATTGCAGATACCATCCAGCAAGTCTCAGAATGATTCTGTGTTTTAACCTCTGAACTGAAAGGAGTTGGCACAAATCGAATTACTCTTGATGCCTCCTTTCTAATTTATCTCTAGGACACCATTGCTTGAATCTAAGATGAGTTTTATTCACGAAACAACACATTCTGCAGTCTAAATTTCGAAATGACAAAGTCAAATAACTGCCAGTGTAATTTTTTCTCTTATATCCAATAAAATAACACAATCATCATTTCAAGTTGTTATCTTGGTATAAATCAGCAGACCATTGCTCTAGTGTTTGAGATTTTGAATGAAGCCTTTAAATCCATGAAGATGCAGAACAAGCTTAATTATTGATCGCAATCTATCGCACTGTGAGTAGCATTAATTACCTAGTCTAGTTCCTCTGAACTCATAAAATCAAATAAATCCTCATCGTTACGCATCTTCAAGGATGATATAGCTCCTAAACGAATAATAGATGCATGCTCACTATATTGTATCAGAATAAAATACAAAGTGTGGCCACCATATTTTTTTTGTGTAATGCACTAGCAAACTTGAACTAGTGGTGATCCTGGCGCATATCAACAGTGAGAGAAGATGCAGTTGCATTATCCAAATTCTACATGTTAGGATATTCCAGAGTAAGTGCAGCTAATGAAAATGGGACTTTGTACACTGTGTGCTTTTACGACACTTAGAATGTTGGGTTTCTAACGACCCGACAGCACCTTCTAGGAAAATCAGGTGCATAGCTGCGGGTGGAGCTTTTGTTCTAAATACATATATTCAAAGGATTTATGTTACTTACACGGATAGTGTTATGATTTTTTTACTCCATCAATGTAATTTAACCTGTTATATTAGGTTGTTTACCATTTTATCTAGGATAACAATCAATGTTAATAAATAGACTTACCTATATTACCTTTTACATTATCATTTTAAGGAACTTAATTAAACACTTCTCAATATACATACCCTCCAAGTCCTTGACCACTCAAATACTGGATCCGCCACTTTCCGTGCATTGTAACATAAAGTATGAGTACATTTGACTCTTGATTCATTAATTCCACTAAGAGCTAAGGTCATATATTTGCCATACAAGTACTCAACAAAAGCCAGATTAAGGCAATTAACGTCAAGCACAAATCTAAAAAACAAATTGAAAAAAGCTCAAACATAATTCAGCATAAATGAAGCCAAAAGAAACACAATTAAGCATACACATTGTAAAACTTACCGACGCCATTCTCGAAAAGCAGCACCTTCCTCACGC